CTGATTGCTATCATCAGAACCATTATAATCATTATTAAAGTTAGCACTGTAAGGTTGTACATAAGAAGTTTACCACAAAAACAACTCCATCTCACTTTCAGAAATGATCAGTATATATAAATATTCTTAATTCAACAATGTTGATGGACGGAAGTGCACTGTCCTTTGAATCTAAACAATTATTATATTCGACGGATTGGATGCAATCTAATCAGCAAACCCAATCCAAATACCGAATAATCAAACGATCACTTGATCAATTCACCACGTCAACAAATAATATGTTTATGATATACTCTAACTGTGATTGTAATAATGCAAAATTTTCCGTGTAATGCTATGTTTTGTTATTTTATTTTGGCGTTCCATTTTACAAGATGTTTGTTGTATTCATTTGGTGCAATCGTTTAATTACTAACTTAAAATGATGAACGTAAATGTTATATATTGCAAATAAATGTGTGCATATATTGATGTGTATATGTTTAAGCACACACATAGATGAATGTACCTCTATAATCTACATATATATTCATGTTTTATGTAAGTAAAATATAAGTAAGTGATGAAGTAACGTAAACTAAAATCAACATCTAAACTAAGCTGGAGTAAGACTACTGATGTATTCTTCTTCTTCGTCGTCTTCTTCTTAAAACCTAAACTCAATAATGCAATCTTGTCATCGTCATTTCAAAATCGTATTAGTGAATTAAATTGACTCGAATAGAATCGAGTCGTCGTTCCTACACTCCACTTTCACTCATTTCATTTCATTTCGTTTCGTTTCGTTCCTTTTCAACCAATCAACCACCGATGCTATAAACCCCTCAAATACAACCGCATAAGTACCACCACCAGCAACTCCTAATAAAAACATCACTAATCTTACCAATTTCCCATCTCTTTTTTCTCAACCTTCACGTGATTGCATCTCATCAGTTTTATCTACCTCGTTTACCTTCTAAAATGCTAATCGACAAAAAATAATTCACTAGATGCTCTCATTACATTATATCATTCCTATACTATCTCGTTGAACTGGACATTTCGCATTATTGTTTTTATGATCGTTAGAGATCAAAAAAGACTTAAGCCTGCAGACTGATCATCAAATTGGCCATTCACATGACCTAATCAAGCATGTGCTTATAAGGGTAATCCGTTGCACTAAGGAGTATGTTGATGCTTTCAAGCCGCAGGAATTAGCATGTCTGAATGTGAAGATAT